CCCCCCCCCAAAAAAAGAGACTCACTTCTGAACTCACTGAAGAGCCAGTTTTCAAGTGTGGAGCAATTATCAGCAATGGAAAATTCAAATGGGAGCACACTACTTACAAGCCAAGGATGGCACTAGGCTTAGAACAAATGCACACTCAAACTGCTTGCAGGAAAATTATACTCTGATTTCATACACATGCACAATCAATTTACACCAGGCTATAATTCAAACTGAAGCATTGTAAAAACAAAACAAAACAAAACAAAAAACTATTAAGGTACCCAGGCTGTCACATAACAATGCTATAATGTTCTTCATTTAGTGTGACGGTGGAATATGTTCACTAGAGTTTGTAGGTCATGTGGGTTTTTCTTTGGGAAGGATCCCCAATAATATTACATTAAATCAAAAAACAACCCACATTGTAGATTAGCATTATGTTTGAACAAGGATGTCGCAAAACTTTTAATCTATCTATATACAGTATATCTATGAGAAGCCCTTATACATAAAGCTTTGTTTTGTTGTATTACATTTTAATTTTTTTGTCGTTTCTCTGGGTTATTGTTTTATTCCCTTTCTCTTTGTTCTGTTTTATTAAATAAAGGGAAAAAAGACTAAGGATGTCTCTGCTTTTAAGACACAAATATTTACAGGGTCTCTTTCCACTTTCTGTCACATCAAGACTTGGGAAGGAATGTTGCAACTCTGTGGACACTGTAGTTCTCATGTTTGAGGAAATAAACAATGTGCCGTGTTCAGATACAGAGGAAAAGGCAGGGCTTCAAGACAAGGACACTATGCTTCAAGAGAAAAACTGATTTGTAGGTGCTTTGCATCAAAGCAATCTGATCACCAATGTTTTGTGACAACATACCTTAATTTTCAGTAATTGTGGCTGCATTCCAAATAGTAAAGCAAATCAATTCCACTCTCAGGCTCACATTTCATAAGTATGTGTCAGACCTACCCAAATCCAACCAAATAATTTACCCTGAAACATCCCAAATAAATGAGCAGCCTCCCCCACCTTCAACTCAGACCTGTTGCCCGACAAGCAGCTCAGGAGACTGGCAGCAGAAACATAATAGAAATGCTGACAAAGCCTCGGGGCCTGTAATCAAGCTTCTGAAATTTTTGTGGAGGTTATTTTCCCTGCTGATGATAGACCCCCGCTGTTATTTCTATGCTGATAGCAGGTATCTGTTGTTGTGACAAGCTGCCTTCTGTCCAGCTGAAAAAATAATCATACTGGGAAAGGCCCATATTAACTTTGGAGCAGCCCCCAAATACTGGTTCGGCTCAATGAGAGTCAGCCAGGGCCAGCCCATCTGACAGTAAAGGAGCATCTATAATGCGATTTTCATTTCCATACTAAGCATTTATATCCTACCCGTTAACCAAGAGTTTTCCCCCAGAGAATTGATGGAATTATTCAGGCTCTTAGACCTCACAAGTAAGCCATGCTCTGACTAAGCCAGAGACTGAAGAAAAAAAGGGCTAACAAAATGCTTGGTTGCCTCAACTATGTTCTCTGAGCTCTTTATTGTGTGTGA